GCAGGAAAATACCATACTTAAAAGTTTGTGGAAGAAATATAAGTAAAGCTCGCTCCCCCTCTTCTTACAAAAATCACTATGATTTCAAAAGCTAAGAAGGATATTCAACAAATACACAAGGAACTGAAGTCCGTGTATTACTATGTCTAAATAAGGTTACCCATTCATGGAACTGTATTGGAAATAGCTCTCCTTTGTTTTTGAAAACATTTCTAAGAAAGAATAATGCCTCAGAAAAATCACTATTATTCCTAAAGCAATACATTCCAAAAGAATAAAAATTGTGAAAAATTCACTATCAGTGTTAGTAGTAGTAGTTTTGCTGTAGAATTAACTAATATTTCTGTTTATAACTACTTTAAGGACAATAAGAATGCATTATTTTGTAAACAAAGTTGAGAAATGAACATGGAAAATTAAGCAGACCAGCTCCATTAAAAATATTTTTAAGAGTTACAGTTAGTGAAGTGGGCAACTGTGGGTACTAGGAAAGAAATCAAAAATACTCAAAAACAAGGTAACATACCAGCAGTTCTGCAATTAATTAGTGTTCACCTGCATCAACACATATTCCCTATTTATTTCTTAAGGTATGGTTGATTAAGGTTCATATTTTGTTGGTGATAAAATTCAGTGATAGCACAGGACCCTAAACAACAGGTTCCTAGATTAAACAAAATGATAGGAATCAAGCTGATGCAAAACTCAATCATGAAAGGCTAAATATCATCCTTTGCCTGAACTTAGAACAGGAGTGGCTCCTGATACAATAATGTGTCAGTTGGTATCCACATATTACTGTAATACAAGTAAATGACAGCAGTCGTTACAAATAACTATTTACATTACTTGTTTGGTACTTTTTTTTTTGTAGATTTATTAAACATTGTACCTTATCTCTCCTCTATGAAATACTCTTGTGTTTCTGCCAGAGTCTAAATATAGATGAAGGATTAGTCACAAACATTTTCCTGCTCTTTAAGCTCTTCCCAACATCTGTGCAAAATCCCTTAGAGTGAGCCCTGCCTAAGCCTCTGTAGTTTTGTTGAAAAATATTAGAAAACAGTGAAGTGAAAGAGAGAAATTTTCAACTGAACACCACACAATTCATTCTATTTCATAAAACTCGGGAACAAAAAAATATTGAGTAAAATACATTTAATTTCAAATTAGAGAAACAAATAGATCCTTGGCAGAGTACAGTCTTTTAATACGCCGCAGTAAAATTTTGCTTTGCCTTACTGGTTCTTTTCAAATATAATTAATAATTTTTCTGATAGTCTAAAAATTATCTAACACTCCCACACTATTTTGCTAGTCTTCTCACTGCCTCTATTTTTGCATTGTTTAGCTTCTTCCTTTGGATTCCAGTGTTTGGAATGGCCCTTCTGCCTATTCTGTAAATAATACATGCTCATTTAATCCTCATATCTCCATCACTAATTCCAGGAGTAATTTTAATTTAGAGGTTAGAGTAAACCTTTTTCTTTACTGCAGGAAAGAGGAAAAGAAGGACAGAATTTCTTCTCTAATTGCACCAAATATTAAAAACATTGTGCCCTTTATACCCTAACAGTTTCTCATCTTGTCAGTAGTTACTTGTTATTAATGCCAAGCACACTGAAACGCCTCTAGTCGAAAACAGTCATATAACGAAGTTCTGCTTTACAGGCTTTCTAATAATCAACATTTGGGTTTTACAGATATTTGGGCATTCATATTAATTATCATAGAGATGATGATATCTAACCTAAGAGTAAATTTTGCACCAGATAAATGCTATTTAAATGAACAGGTCAATCTTGAATAAGCCAGCTCTAAATACACTGAATGTAATTAATGCAGTATCCCTTCATTTATGAATCTGGAAGTTTACAAATCCACCAGACCTGAAGGGGCTTTTAGCCTTTATCCAAAATCCTTTGAGTTTATGGGCGTTTCCATTGACTGCCATTTCTTTTGGTGAGGTTGTTCTGCGTGTTAAATGCAAACTCATTGGATATTCTGAGCTCCTGCACAAATTACTCTCCTTTAGTATGTTGGTAGCATTCTAAGCTACTGGACTACATCTTCACTGCACATTCTTGGATTTCTTTATTTGACAAAAACTGGATTCCTTACAGTCATACAGCTAAAGACAGATAGTGTGAGAGTTTTACAGCAAAGAGAATAGTTTCAAGGTTAAGGGTTGAAGAAACAGCTGTTTACCATGACTGTGTACAAATCTCAAGGATCTATTTCCCCATCACCACTAATTAACATAGCAAGTAAATGGAGTTACTTGCACATAAAGCCTTCACACATGCACCATCAACTGGTGGAGAGAGCATAGGATTTCAGAATGGAATTGAGTTTACAGTAATTATCGGAAGCTGGATTCAATACTTCTGCTGGGACATTTTAGGGAATGATGAAAGGCAATGTATCTTGAACTGCGAGGCATGGGAAGGTTCCTTTTTTTTTCCTTCAAAGTGATCTTTTGTTCAAAGTTGTGCTTCTTCTGCACAACTTTCATGTATTAATAGCCTGAAGAATCAGTGAAAGCCAGAAGGTCACTTGGAATATTTTAAATATTCTTTGAAAGAAATGCTAATGACAATGAACACAATATAAAGATAGCTGAGTGTCAAATTAATTTTTAATATGTTTTTGATGTGAAGAAGGATGCTCAGTTCAAAAACACTGAAACAGAGCCACAATGATTATTTCTCAAAATACTTCTTAGCTGTATTCTGTTGAATGAATTGTGATTTCTGTTTTTGCAAGGCAGCAGAATATGGACTGATTATGTGGAAAGAAGCAATACTGAATCAGTGCAGAGCTCTGTAATTCATTCTGCTTTTAATTTATCACTCAGCACTCAGTCTTGCTCAGATATTTCAAATGTAACAACACATCAAGTAAAATTTTCTACTGATCACATGGCAAAAGATGCTGACACTGATAAATCATTCATCAGCAGAAAAATGTTTAAAGAACAGATAACAAGTGTTTTTTTCCAGAAAAGAGAAACATATATTACTAGGACCACAAACATAAGCCATTTATGTTCTGTCACCAATGCAACTAATTCAGTACGTAAGAAAAGGTCTTACCTTGTTTTAAGGATATTCAGAAACTGCAAAATTTCTGAAAACTGTATCAATCTAAGGGCTCTTAAAAATCTTAAACCTGCAGCAAAGAAAAAAAAAAAGGCTCTAGTAAAGAATAATTCAAATTATAACAACATTTCACTCACAATGACAGTGATCAATGAAATCAACATAGGTAGCATACAAAATGTCAAATACCTTTGAAATGTTCTTCCATATTTAACGGTTCCAAAATCCTTACCAGGTCTTTTTCAAATTGTTTTCATCTTATTTCCTTAATAGCTCAAGTATCCTACCAGAAAGCCTTAGTTTATATAGGAAGCCATGGCAGGAGACATACAGGCTGAAAGCTAAGGGGCAAAAACCTCACTGAGGTTCTGTTGGTAGTTCTAGTGCACATGTCCTTCTCTTCCAAGTTGTCAAAGACACACACAGATCTGAAACTCCTCAGTCCTCCAAGCTCCCACATTGCTTAGTGAAAAGTAAGAGATTATGGGAAAGAGATCTGATAACCTGGATAAAGCAGACTGAGTATATGCCCGATTAAATTGGTAAATCTTAATGACGTAAAATCTTTTATTGTAATAATACTCCCTATCTCCACCCTAATTTCCAAAAACTCAAGCAGGAGAACAGAGGAACGACACATTCTCTCTTAAAACTGACAAATCCACTATAACTCTTTCCATTGAACTATAACTCTTTCCATTGAACTATAACTCTAGGAATAGATTACACTGACTACTAAAGAAGTAACTATTTTTACAAAGAAATAGCATTTTTGTGTTGAAATCAGGTTGCATGAATAGCAATTCCCAGACAACTGCAAAGCCAGCGAGACATACACAGAGAGAGTGTACGCAAAAGAAAATACTATAGAAGATTAAGGGCTTAAATTATAAAAGAGACTTATGCTGATAGTAAATAATTTGGCTGCAGATCTTTGGCATATGAATAAAAGTACATTGTGTATTATACACATACACAGCTTATAAAATTAAAATAAAGCTTTGAGGATAATTTTTATTAGACAGTACAGCCAAGAGTTACATAAAAGTTGTGTAACATGGTATTGTAACTATTACAGTTAGGTCCAGGGCAGCTTCTTCTCATACTTCCTCTTTATTCACATTTTACCCACTTCCAGTGCTGTAAATCACTTTTTGTTTGTAGAAACTTAAGGAAAGACTTGTCCTGGCGAACATATAAACCTTGTCACAACCTTCATCATCTCTGTGGAGCCGAGAGGTTCCCCCTCAAGAGCAAAGATGCATGTGGTGATATGTGTTTATTTCTGCAGTATTCTTGGAAAGTTGTTAAAATAAAATTATTACTTTTAAGGCTCATAAGGAGCCTTATTAAGTAGCCTTGTTAAGAGTGTTAAGCCTTAACAAAGTAGAAAATCTCTCCTGTCTGTGTATGACATGGATATAAGGTTTCTTTTTAATTACTGACTGTGGGGAACTCTGAAGATTAATCACAACTTGAAAACTGAATTTGGGGATCTAGATGAAAAGCAAAAAAATGATGCTTAATAATTATAAATTTCACATCCATTTGCAATTAGAGGATGATCATTTTGGATCATAGAGCTGAAACTGAGAGAGACTTGTCCCTCTGCTCCACTTGCAGTAGTTCCCACAGTTGCTACTTCTATCCAAAGAGGTGTGGCTGGATTTTTGAAAAACGGCTGCTGGGAGAAAAATCCTCCCTTTCAAATATTTTGCATTGCATCTGAAGTTACCCATTGCAATGTTTCAAAAAGAAGCCTGAGAAACATCAAAGTTAGCAATAAAACCTCTATCTCCAAACTCTTACAATCCTTAAGATATATTTTAGTTGCTGAGACTCAAATGATAGAACAAAAAAGATATGTCATCAGTGCATTTTTTGTGGAAGAAGAAAATCATTATGGATGAAGTTCTGCATTTGCTACAGCCTACACTATTTTAAAGAATTCCCTTCAGAGAATAGAATTTTAAAAAAGAAAAAAGTGGAGTTTGTTTGAACACTTTACTTAAACTACAGATGGAACTGGCTTGTAATTTTGAAAGGTTACCATCACCTTGTAAGCTCTGTATCTTTTCTAGGACATTACTTATGGGGCTGTGTTTTATATCTAAAGGAATTATTACACAGAAAGGATCTTCAGAAACCTCAGTGTATTAGTGTTCTTCAAATATGAAGAACAAAAATAAAATTAAAAAAGTTTTCCTTATCATGGTGGCAAATGAATTCTTTCCAGTATTCTACCCTTTTCAAGACCCAAACAGTTTTGTTATTAGGTTCCTATACGCATCCCATTTTATATGATTTTCTGTACTTTCTGTCTTGCAAATAATCTGCAAGTTCCACCGTCCTAGCAAGAAAGTGATATTTAATAAGAATCTCTTCCTATGTTCATAGTATCAGGACATAACAAAGCATAAGTCTTATTAAAAGACACTAAGAAAAGGCAGATTCTTTAGATGAGATACTGAAAACTTCATAGACAAACTACCATGATCCTGTATGATGCTACCTCCTTGTATTTTATAGACAAAGTGTTTATATTTAATTAGCTTTTGTAGAAACATCAGTCATGTTAGAAATATTGTATTTTTGTATTTACTGTAAAATACTTTCTATATTAGTCAAAAAAGTCCTCTGGTAAATCAATATATATAGGAAATAGAGATTAGGAAAAACCTTCATGACAATACACCTTTGAAGCCTATAAAAATTATGTATTTCAAGTATTTTCAATGCCCATTAAAATTATATTCTTGGTTTTGCTTCAAAGGACCTCTAAAGGTCTTTTTTATGAAAACCTAATTGGAATATAATATTCTTTCCAGCTATGTAGAGACATCAACTCATATAAATGTCATCAGCAGAATGAACATTGCAGGAAAACACTTTTGTTTGCCCTGACAGTCACTGTTCCTGTCCAGGTGCTGAACAAGGAGTGCAATCTGCCTCAGTGGGATAAAGTGTTAGGGTACTGGATTTAGTAATGAATCTACTGGTTCACTTCTGAGTTTTATAATCCACTTCAGTAAAAAATCTAGCCAACTGAGGGCTTTAAAATCCATTTGACATTGACTGATGTCAGAGTCAAGGAGAACCTGGCTCAGGAGGAAACAAGCAGAGACTGGGAGTAGCATTCTTAGTATAAACCATGGTGAGAAAGGCAGACAGTTTGCAAATAGGGCCAAAAGGCTTATAGTTGAGGAGGGAAGAAGCCTGTTTAAAGTAAGAAAATAAGGAATATTCACAAGAGATGGGTATTCCAGAATAGTGTAAAAAAAGAACTCTGAACAAAACACATAAATGGACTGGACAATGGTAGGGCTGCAGCTGGTAGGTTTAAGTAATCTTGTTTCCATGTATTCACAGTATCTTGCTCTCAGGGACCAAGCGTACAAGCACCAGTTAGTTCAGTGTTTGTAAGTGAAACCCGCCATGCCTGCAGTGTTTACTCCCCATAACACTACTAACACAAAGAGTCAGTCAGCGAAAACAACTCTACATAGTAGGGACAAATTACACTGTACAATGCACCAGTGGGCACACCTCCCCAGTAGGTTATACCATGTGAAGACTTTGTGTGGTCTATTGGCAACATCCACTAATACTAGCTGAACTGAAACAAGGATGAAAGGGGAATTCCCATTCTTGAATAGTTATTTCTAAGACTTGACTGTGAAAGGGATAAGAGGTGCTGTTTCTGAATGAATCTGTTTGGCACTCTAAAACATTTAGTAGCATTGACTGCTTGCCCTTCTAGTAAATTATGCTCATTTTGAAAGACTGCAGCTAATTCGGAGGTTTCAGCCTTATTCTTCAAATAGACTACAAAAAGCTGCTGCTGAGAATAAACTGTAAGCATAAAACTCAGATGAAATGAGTTTGCCCCTAAACGTATGATTATTATATCACCTTGAACTTAGCAAGGGGATGATGAATCAACTGAATAATTCCCAGAGGAAAAGTCCACACAGCACTTCATTCTGGTGCTGGTATTAATGACATGCGAAAGTGTGCTTGCAATCATACATGCATCCATGAACTGGTGACAGAGTAATCCTCACAGCAATAACCTTGTTGCAATGAGATTGTTGTCAAACTAAAAATAGCCTAAATTATTCAGTAGGTAGCTCACTATGAATCCACACAAGATCAAAGTTAAAACAAGTTAAATAGAAAAGATTTTGATGGGTCTAACTCAAGAGTAATTATTGACAAAGCATCTGTAAAGAAACAGCCTGTCTGAAAACTAATCACATGTAATCAGTAACACAATGCCCCATGCTATGCTCTCTCACTGTTTTCAAATCAAATTTGACTCACAACTAAGAAAATGTTATCTCTTTCAGGCCCACCGACTCATCAAGAATAGAAATTTTGGATGTTTGTTTATGCATCAAGAATAGTAAACAAAATTCTATAATAGGAGCACTAACAGAAATTCCCATTTTTCAAAAGCTGTCTCAGCTACTTAGACAAATGTGTACATCTCTCTTTCCTTCACAATATTTGGGAATGTATTTTATACATGTGGGGAAGAATAATTTCTTTTAACATGAAATAACAACAGAACTGTTTTACATTTAAATGATATAATCAGTAGTTGAGAAAGGGTAAGTTTCTTACGTATTACAGTAAAGTCTATTCTAATTTTGCACGTTTAATAGGATCCTGCGTGCTAAAGTTAATTGAGCAAACTGCTGAATGCAATGCTCAGGAAGTACTTGCTGTTTTATCTCCATCATGTCATTCACCTTTTTCTTGGCAAGAGGTTTTATATCGGAATTTTCTTACGGGATTTAACTGGAATAGGATATAATCTTCTATACTACAATTTATACAAAAAATAAGTATCAAAAGATTTAATTTATCTAGATCTCTCTAATCATGGAAAAATATACTGACAAAAAGAAGGGCCTCTTCTGTTTGTCAGTCTTCTGCTTCTAAATGGATGACTAAAGTATGCATCTGAGCTGGAGTTTCTTTGAACTGCAATGCCCAGGATAAAGCTAAGAGTGTCATAGATTTCTAGACCAGAAAAAGCTTTTAGGATTATCAAATCTGATTCCTTTAATAATATGAGACAAAGAATTTTAGTCAAAAGTTTCTGCCTCTAGTACAGTAATTTGAGTTGTAGGTATGACGATTCAAATGAACCTCCAAGTATACCATGGGATTGTTTTATTACTGTGAAAATACTTGTTTAGCTACCTGTGTGGCCTGTACAGCTAACAGACCATTTTCAAAAGTCCTGAAAATGTAAAATATGTGTGTAATATGTTCTATTATTTTTACTAGGTGATTTCCTGGATAACGTGTGCTGTAATTTTATTTCAGATTCTGAGTGTTCAACCTGGAACCTGTGGGAAAAAAAACCCAACACCACACACTCCCCCCAACAACCACACCTGACTCCCAGAGATCAAATGCCTACCTCCTGAAATTCTATACACTGAAGTTAGATATGAAAAATAGACACATCCACATCTTTCAGGCCAATTTTGAAGGGTCACTAATAGAAGCCAAATACCACCCTAAAAAACTGAAATCAATTTTAAATATTACAGAAATCAATGATCTATGTAACAGGAAACAATATGTCTCGTTGAAATATTGGGCTAGATGTAGAATTCAACAGGAGTATTTTTATTGATTTCACTACATACTTGTTCAGTTCTGTGAGGTGAGGTGCAAATACTCTCTAGCTATGGCTTTCTGACTCTTTACTAAGGACCCAGTAAAATGGATGCTTTAGACTGGAATAGTGACAGAAACATGACCAATAAATTATGTGCCAGCAGCAACGCAATTACAGTAGAAAATTATTTCCTCTGTAAAGTTTACAGCAAAACAAACTACATTATTTTAAGCTTTATTTGACTTCACAGTCGTAAAGGTGCTGAAATATGGTATTTTCCTGTCTGTCAGACAGTTTTGCAGTCTCTTGGCTGAACTGATGCTTTCCACTGGATTCATATACAGCAGCAATCAGGATTACCCATAAGTTACAAACCCCCAAAAAAGGAAATTTACAATTTTTAATCTATAAAGGGGAAGAGGAGGAAATCACGACAACTAAACTTATTTGTCTTTAATGAGATTCTAAAAATAGAAACAGGAATTGGGATATTTCTTCATTCAACATGAGAAGTCAATCTACCAAAACACCATCAAGCATTACATTATTTCTCATCAATGAGATACATAATCCCTTTCTTATTGCCATATGTTGCTTTTTCAGTCAATAGCATATCCAAAATATTGGTATAAGGGTCCAAGCCACAGAGATTCTGTATACCATTTCTCTTCCTGGCAAACCATTCACCCATTCATCAGAATGGTATCTTCATCAAACCTATCAATGGCTGCTTCTACCCTATATTTGATTAAGACCATATGGTTTATTGAAGACTGAAAAAACCAGAATCCGTATTTAGGAAATCAGAACCTTTTCTGAGATGCATATAATGGCAGGGTAATTTTTAGGATGCAAAATAATCCTATCCTGAACACCTTCACACAATGCCACAGAGCAACCTGAGATTCCACTCCCTGTAGATAGGTTTGAAAATGAAAGCTCAAAGAACAAGATAAGACGACCTAGCATGGGAGGGAAAGAATCTGCCATTTCTTGGAAGCAACACAGCCAAAATATTTTGATAGCTCTCCCTGCCTCTGTTATGCAAGCATATGAGCAGGGAAAACAGCCCACAGCATGAAAAAATCAATACCTTATGAACCAGAACAGCAAAACTGCATCAAATTCAGAATCCACATAGGTTGTATACTAATTGCTTTCAAGCAATGCTGTATCAAAGACTTGTTAATAAATCCCTCTCCTGCACATTTCTTTAACTTACTTTTATACCTGTTAAAATAATGACAGCCATTTTAAAAATAATTTCTTAATAACTCCACCACTGCAGATTATTACATTCCATCCTTCAATAAAGACTGGATTACTTGATTCTAGGTGAATACCGAACGCCTTTGATGAGGTATTGGAGATATGGGCACATTACAGCATATGAGTTTGGGAAGGAATTTTTCCTATAAAGCAACTGAAATCCTGTAGCATTATTTTGAAATTGAAAAATTAAATATAATATCTTTTTAGAAAAGAATAACACTAGCACCAGACACAGAATCACAAACTACAGTTCTAGAACAAAAGTTTAGAGTTGGACCTTACCCCAGTACGAGCCGACCCTGTAACAAGACACCAAGGAGTTTCGAAAAGTATGTTGTTCTTCCTTTTCAGGGATATTAAGTCCAGCTTTGACACGATATCCATTTTGGAACAATTCTCCAAGAGATTTTTTACGCCTTCTAGCACTTTTATAAGTTTCTGTACGCGTGCCCCCAGAAGGGTTGTGGTAGACTAAAATCTTGCCAGGAATCATGACTATGTATCTTCAGCTGCAGGAGCACTGCACATAAGTATTGCGGTCCCGTCTTCAGTCACAGCATCCACTAATAGCGAAGATAGTCATATATTTACCCTTCTTTTTGCTAATTCAGTATCAACATGGAGAGACAGCTCAGAGTTCTTTCTTTAACAGAACTTCTCTTTGGAAGCAGACTTATTTAACTGGACACAGGATAATGCGAAGTTCACCTTTACACATTGCTATCAAAAGATAATTCAGTATAATCTAGTCCATTTCTGTTAGCATGAAACAAACAGAATTAATTCAGATACAAAACTGAGCCTCACAAAACAGAGCCTCAAAAAACAGACTAAGAGTATCACAAACTGGATGGACAAAACAAATCACAGAAGCAGGCAGACAGTGCAGATGCTCCTCTGATCCATGATGTATTAGAGCTTAAAAGCCATCTTCTATCCGGATATTACCACATAAGCTTCTTTCAGATACACTAAAGAACCACACCCATTGATCCAAAACCCACAAATGTGATGCTGTTCACTTGGAATGAACAGGTACTCTTGTAAAGAATATAGTTGTAGTTCATGTACATAAAGGAAATTGTTTACTGTGTATTATTTTCTTCGGCAACTTTACATATCTGTCTTCTGGTTAAAGCTAGTATGCAGAAGGCAGAGGTCGCATAATCAGCCAACTCTTACAGGATTTATCCCAGATGAAATAAAAAAAAAAAAAACCCACAACCACAATAACCCTTCATCTAATCCCAGTTAATGACAGCTATATTACTGGAGGGGGGGCGGGGGGGGGAAACCAACCCACCAATTTAGCCATCAAGCAAGAGCACAAAGAATAGAGCGCATTAGTTCTCTCACGCAGACTTGCACTGTGAATATTCAACAAAACTGGATTTTTGTTCAGTCAGCTACCATCTCATTCAATTAGAAAAAGCTCTTCAAAATAAAATGTAAATGTGAGATATTACCTTCTATGATACACGATATGCTTGCTTAGTCAACTTTCCTGCTTTAAGCATAACATACAAACTTCATCTTGAAAAGGTATCTTCATTTCGAGGAATATGCTTATAATTTCTACTTTTTGTCCCCAGAGGAGCCACAAAGATGCATATGCCAAAAATATATCAATATCTGGAGTACAATGCAAAGCAGACACAAAAACAGACTGCACCATGTGCTTAAAGGAAATGTACAGGATCTCAAAGCATTTTGGAAATGTTATTAAAGCTTGACAATGCCAAATATAGAAATGGGGAGAACCGTACACACAAATTTCAAATTTCAAGTAATATGCAGTGAGTGAATCAGAGGCAAACCACTTCTGTGACTCCTCTACATTGTAACCTTTACACTATGTTCTTACAAACAACCTGGTCATGTTCCCACATGTTCCCACGTTCGCAATAATAAAGTTCCACTGAGTCTAGTGGGAATAGTTTTTGATTCTATACATATGCATGCAGACATACATATGTATATATCTGTGAGCACTTGAATCATTCCTCTCAAATTGGAAGGATTTGAACAAGGTAGTACTTATCTGTGTTACTAATCACATCTTGTACAGCTCAAACTGAAATAATGTCCTACTTACTTTTTACCATATAAGGCATACTATTTTTCTTTCTTTTTGTATTTCTTCTTGAATAGTATTATAATCTTGTTATTATCCAATTTTAAACCTATCATTAGTGTACTTTGTACTTAGTACAGCAAATGTTTGGGTGTAGAAACCATTTACCTTGTGAGCCTGGAACATCTCTAAAGGAAAACAGTACCCAAGTAATAAATAGCAGGAGTCAAGCTGTTTAGTTTACATAACCTATATTTTGGTTTTAATAATTTGACAGTATTCCTTTAACTCTCTCAGCTCCTTGGCATAGCCAGATTTTTATCAATTTTCTCTTCTTGTCAGTGCACTGCTAAATCAGTTGCATACATCAAAAATCTGAAAACAGGAATCAAATGACAAAAACTGGAAATAAATCTAAAATAAACCTGTTCCACAAGTTAAAAATCTCAATCTAAATTTCAGCAGCAGCAGGATGATGACATATTGGGCTGAGAAGCACTATTCAGCATCACAGACAGAGCCACACAAAGATGTTTGTATTACTTTCCTGCGCAGAAGTTTCTGCTTTCCAAGGGAATGTTTTTTAGCATTTTGTTCTACAATCTGATTATGCAAGACAGCTTATTGTTTCCAGTGAGAGTACAGTTCTCTACCATCTATATTATCTACCTATTACTTGGCCAAATTTTTCATATTAGATGTAAAATTAGATTACAGAAAATTGTTCTCTGTAGGCTATTTTTTTTTTTCTTCAATTGTCAAGAAAACTACCTTTTAGATATCCCACCATGTAGCTCAGATGAGCATCTGACTAAAAGTCTGAAGTCCAATTAAGCAGATGATGCCATGAGGAAAATGGCACTGTTTCCAATGTTTCTGTACTTTCTCCTACCCCTGTGAAGGACATAGTTGAGTTTCCTGGTCTGAGGTAGACTTAAAACTCCTGAACTCTGTGTTACCAGAAACACCAGAGATGTGTGCAATCAGCTTAAAAGTATTTACTCCAAACTAATCAACATTCATTCTGTTCTAAAGAGCTCTAGGATGACTTGTTAAAACCTACTGTACCTTCCATGAACCCAGCCTATTTAAAGTATGTTATGAGCGAAGTTTTCCATATTTTCAACAGATGTGTATCCTTGGAGCATATCACTCCATACCCTCTCTGAATTTGCCATAAAAATGGATTGATGTACTTATGGAGGCATTGGTACCATTAAATGACAACTTGCTTTCAAAGTCCATCCACATGTGAAACTATTAATCTCAAACATGCAGGAGAAAAAGCAAGACTTCTCAGCAGCTGAGCTCCACTTAACTTTTGGCTATTCAGGAACTAGGTACTTGCTACACCATCCTGCAAGAGGGCAAGGGAAGAGCAGATCTTTGGCATAGACAACCAATGTATTAGGTAGAAGTGGGTATCAAATTATTGTCCTCTAAAGCACAGGTTAGACAGGGATGACTGATTTGCTGTGCTTTTGTAGGATACTATCTGCTCACAGCTGTGCCCAAAAGCACAATCTAGAAAAAACACAAAACACAAGGAAACCTGCCAAGGAGAAACCTGCTGTAGAGAAAAATAACTTTGACCATCCAGTGACCATTCTCTCCTTGAAAATTACTTTTTAATTTATTTTACGGTAAGGCAACACAGAATGTTCCACATGTTATCTTTCCTCTCTTTCAGGTTGCTACTTCTGAAACTACAGTGTAAAAGCCGTTGTTCTACAAGAAATGGCCCTTTAAAAATCTGGTGTATGCAAATATAAAAAGCATACAGGTTGGCCAACAACTACTTTTTGGTACAGCTTTGTAGCATCATCTTATGACAAAACCAAAACAATCTAATGCCCATTCTGCTAAGCACTTACCACTCATTAATCTCACTAATTATTTTAGAAGGTAAATTTACAATCCAAACTTAAGTTCCTGAAGAAATGCATATAGTTGCATTATTTTTTTTTTTTATCTCCCAGTCTCAAAGCCTTAAGATATTAAGCCATTTTCAGAAAGCTTGGCACTAGCAATAAGAAAAACGGAGTCACTACATACATAAACATTAACTTTGCTGCTTTATATCACTTCAAGCAATGACTATGTCATATTCCATAAGACAAACAGAGATATACCCAGTAGTGAATGAATAGCACATCTTTACATAAAATCAGAGTGTATTACCCTGTAAGCAACATACTTTATAAAGGAAGTATAATCCCACCAAACTGATGGTGGTGCCATTTTTAATGAAAGGCTGAAAGCATGAAGGGAAGCATAGACAATATTCATACTTACCTCATGGAAAAAAGAGCTAGGGAGAAAAGGAATTTATTCATTGGTCATTTTGTTATTTTTTTATCTTACAGTTGCGTAATCCTTTCTAGAGACTGAAGTCCATATTCAAAAAGGATGCAAAATATGCTTTTTTAAATTCTTTGATTTTTGGAGAATAACTTAATTGGACAATTTACTGATGATGCTACTAAAATCAAGATGACCCTTGAAATAAGAGGATACACCTCAGCAAGCTACCTTGCAGAGAGGTGGCACTGAAGGTTGGAAACTTCGGGTTTGTTTTTTAAAGTGCTCATTACAACTCAATATACAGTAGTTTCACTTCCTGAAGAATGACAAGTTAGCATCTTGTACAATTTTCCCTGGCATTCATCAGGAACAAATTGCACTAAAATCAGGAATATGCTATTCTGAGACGCTGTAACTGTGGGGTAGGACAAATGATAAGAACAAAGGCAAAGGAAGGACAAAGGCCAGATCTAAAGCCTGACTCACACTGCAGGACTCATGTTGGTTTAAAAAAAGACTTGCAATTCTGCCTGTCTTTGCTGCTGTGAGTCACAAGGCAGGGGCCATAACTGCCAAAGAAACAATGAGCATACTATGAAATAAGACTTGAAAAGAAGTCAAATATTTCAGTTCTAATCAACTGGTATGATATAATGCATTCTAGCCATTGAACCTTCTTTAGCCTTTGAATTGCACAAAGAAAATATTTAAAGAATAGATATGAGCAGATACATGCAGATATATTAATTATGAAAAACTGGTTATGAAAATGATACACCACGAATTTCTGTATGTGATTATGATCCAAGTGCAATTAAAAAAAAAACAAAACACCAGTTTTCTGACCAGATGGGTGCCAAACTTCATAAAATATTTATGCTTGCCCAAGAGAAGTGATGCCCTTTTACTCAGTGTACAGAATGATTGTTGCATGTGGTTTAAATTTATATTGTAATAACAACAAACAGAATATTTCATACCAGCTGTCAGATTAAGAATTTAGGCATAAAATTTCATAGAAATCAAAGACTGAGGTGTTTTAACTGCTTTTTTGGAAATATAGCAGTCTTGCAGGTCCATACACCACTTATCAGTATCCCTCATTTCACCCCATG